AGAAGTTGGAAAGAAAAGAGAGCAATAATTTGGCCGCCCCCTTCACTTATTATTTATACTAAGTACAAAGACAACTATGCCCTTATAGGGCAGCAAAACATAAAACAGCATATATAACACTCAAAAAACATAATAAAATTTGGACTCACATAACTACTGTGGTCCCCACCTCCTATCTAACAACTAATGTAAAACATCTACTCAGAAAAACATCATAAAACTAATTAATCTTCAACGGCATTGATTACTATCCCTTGGATAAGTTACTGGAAATCATCACTTTCTCATCAATGCTGTTCTCCTAGTTCTATCATTTGCATCTCTTACATAATAGTCAAACACTCACACTTCTCTTCCCAAATTATGCATGGAGTCACATAAAGCTTCAGTATGATGCCTTCAATGCAGTAAGAACAAAGAGGAAAGGTTACTTCTCCCGAGCATCATATCTAAGCAAAAGCAAAACAAAGCTTCATTCAATTCCCAATTATTAATTGGATCAATTACAAAGAATGTTCCCATATTTATAGATCAGTATATCGCATTGGACATTTTCCTTTAACACCCCAAAAATTAAACTTTGACTTATTTCCTTATTTGTAGACAATCCTATAGATCTTCTAAAAATGAACTTTTGATCAATAGAAATTTTATCTGAATTTCTAATAAAAATCAGTGCATTCCAAAATAAATATTCTCTAATTTTAAATTTATAAAATAAAAAAAATAGATAGTCTGGACTCAGCATGGTAAGTGCAACATTAAGCTTGTTTGGTATGCCAAAATCAAGTAGAATGATGGATTTGACATAGTCTTCTCTTCAACTTGGATTGAGACCAAATAATGGACAAATAACTTTTAAGTATTATCTTTTTTGTGTTCGATTAAGGGAATAAAGAAGTCCTTGAGTTTTGATTAGGGAATTAAGAAACCACAAACATATTGAATAAAAGAACAGGAAGTATTCTTACTAGAATGGGCAAATTCAATCCAATTTGCATTCTGAACTAGACATGCTGAAATCTATAGGGCTCATCTTTGTTACTGCATTCTAAGGAACAATTTGACAATATATGGCATGGACATCACCTTCACTGATTCACCGGTTCTGTGCATCAGACTCAACAACCAGCTCATCTTGGGGCTCTGTCAATGGCCTTGGCTGAATATTACCAGGATCAATGTTAATTTGTTAAGTGTTTAACACAGAATTACAGATTGAATCTTCAACTTGTCTAATAATATTTTAGGCTTCTCATTTTTCTTGTTAGGCAGCCAACCCCTTAAAGGTGGAACAAGGCTTAGATTATGATGATTCTGTCACTAGGACTAAAATTCTGTTCTAGAATTTCTTTCACAATGTCCAGATTTTCTGTAGACATTCTTCAATCTATTTGTCCATGGATCCCATACATCAATCATCAGCTTTCCAAGGAGGGGAGGAAGACCAAGCTGTAAATGAAGAGTAAGGGGAATTGTACTGAGTAGGAAGAGAAGAGGGAGGGAGGGGGGAAGAATGAAAATGCTAAGATGGGATGTTTAGGATTGAGGGAAAGGAGCCAGAGGTCTTCGGTGAGTAATGTGATTTGAAATCAGAAGCTTGACGTAGTACTCCTGCAACCCTGTCAACCTCCATTTTATATAGTGAAGCTGATCATCTCTACTGTAATAGCATATATGTTATTCCCAAATCTTCCTTACATTGCTAGAAGTTTCTTGTGCTACATGATATATTGCAGTCCAGGATAGAAAATAATATCAGAATGCTATAATCTTTAATTCAATTCTTGAACTAGTCTCAGAGGTCATTGTTTTCTGCAGTTTAGAGCTTTTCTTCAAGCACAGAATCTTCAAGAAACTCAAATCTTTGCCAAAATTGAAAATGTGGAGGTGAGCAATTGCATTTGAAATGGAAATTCTATTCTTTGAAGAAAGCTTGCAAATTTCTGATTTATTGCTTTATTTAATTTTCTTCATTGAGAGTTTGAGGGTATACTATGGTGTCAAACTAAAATGAATCAACTATCGACCTATTATTTTGCTAGGGTCTCAAGCATTTTGATGACATCCTTCAAGAAGCAGATGGTATTATACTTTCTCGTGGAAATTTAGGAATAGATCTACCCCCTGAAAAGGTTAGATGGTCCAGTTTCCCTTTATTCACTAATCCATCATGTTGGTCTGTATTTTTACAATTTATAAACATTTCATGTAGTTGTTGTTGGTTTAAGGGTTAACAATCTACTATTATTGTTCAAATTGCTGCTGTTGTTATTATCTTTTTTAATGCTTGGTAACAAAGATAATTGAAAGGATTACAGTGAGGGTAGCGCATTGGTGAAGACAATGGAATTGTTCTCAGACTTCACAATTGATGATTTCTTCAGAAATTGGGGGGCAGTTGAAGGATCGTCATCTAAAAAACCAAAAGTAAAAGGGATTGGACACCACCAGTTAGGGGGTATTGAAGCTGAATTTTGATGGAGGTAGTTTGGGTAATCTAGGGCTTTGGACTGTACTTGAATCACAAAACTGTAATTCTGAAAGTTTCTCTTGACATTTCTCCCTCAGTGTTTCTTCAACACCCGAGTGATTGTAATCATCTTTTTTTTTTTATTTTCATGATTTTTTTTCTGTTTACTATTGATATAATTCAGGTATAGTGTTCTTATAATTCCAAATAATAATAAGAAGAACCTGTAGAAACAGTAGGGAGAAGAGAAGAGAAAACTGTTCTGGTCGAACTAGAGAAGAAAGAATTACTGTTATGCCTATATAACTTAAAGATCTACTTGTAATTACATCCAACATATAACTTAATATAAAATGCCTATACTACCCCTCTACAACTGACTCCAACACTCCCCCTCAGGCTGGTGAGTATATGTCATATAGTCCTAGCTTGTTACATATGTAGTCCACTCTTCCCCGGCTCAACCCTTTGGTAAACAGATCTGCCCATTGATTTCCTGTGTTCACATATGTTGTACTTATCACTCCATTAAGCACCTTCTCACGTACAAAGTTGCAATCAACTTCTATATTCTTTGTTCTTTCATGAAACACTGGATTAGAGGAGATATGAACTGCAACTTGATTGTCACAATATAGCTTCATAAGAGTGTCAATCGAGTACCCCATTTCCTCTAGGAGATGCTTCAACCACACTAGTTCACATGTTCTGTGTGCCATGACTCTATATTCAGCCTCTGTACTGCTTCTTGCTACCACTGTCTGCTTCTTACTCTTCCATGTCACTATATTGCCACCAAGTGCAATACCCTGTAGTGGACCTTCTGTTAGATATGGAACAGGCCTAGTCAACATCCTTGTATCCCTCTATCTCAAGACTTCCTCCACTCTTATATAACAAACCACGACCTAGAGCTCCCTTCAAGTATCGTACAGTCCTTAAAACCACCTCCCAATGTGGAATTCGAGGATTCTTTATAAACTAACTCACTACACTAACTACAAATGAGATATCAGGCCAAGTGATGGTTAGGTAATTCAACTTACCTACCAACCTTCTATACCTTCCAGGATCTTCAAACTCCTCACCTGCATCACTGCTCAACTTGACATTTGGTTCCATGGGTGTTTCAGCTGGTCTAGCACCTAACAACCCTGTTTCCTCTAGCAAATGAAGAACATATTTCCTCTGGCACAGATTAATACCATTCTTGGACCCCACTACTTCTATCCCTAAGAAATATCTTAATTTGCCAAGATCTTTTGTCTGGAAGTGATCATGCAAGTAAGTCTTCAACCTATCAATCCTTGGTCTATCATTGCCAGCGATAACAATATCATCTACATATACCACCAATAAAATCTTCCCAGCACTGGACTCATAGCTGAATACGGAATGGTCAACCTATCACTGTTTCATGCCAAATTTCTTCACCACTTCACTGAATTTGCCAAACCATGCATGGGGGGATTGTTTAAGCCCATAAATAGCCCTCTTAAGTCTACATACCTTATCACCCTCACCCTAAGCAACAAGCCCTAGTGGTTGCTCCATGTACACTTCTTCAAGGAGATCACCATGTAAAAAGGCGTTCTTGATGTCAAGCAGAAATAAGGGCAAATCATACATAGCAACAAGGGAGATCAGAACACAAATGAAAACAATTTTGGCATCAGGGGAGAAGGTGTCTGTGTGTTATGGGCCCGGGCGTAGGATCTCGTCACGGGTCGGTCCACAGGGAAAAGCTCCTGTTTTCCCTTGTTCCTCCCCTTCCTAGCTGAACCTATCTTGGCGTCCTAGAGGGTGATTTGTTCAAGAGATCACCAAACTCTCCTTTTACTCTCTTTCTTGACTGGAAATTTGATATCCTCATTCAATAATGGGGTCTCCTTAAATAG